GCCCCATTCACTATGATTTTATATCCTAATATATTGGGTACAAATCAAATGTATTACTGTTGTGTCCTATTCAACACTCAGCCATTTTCAACTTGTCAACTTTAAATCTAGCAGATTTCTAACAGAGAAGGACGGATGATTTAAGAAAGCACCAAAAAGCATATAGTATAGTATAGCAAAATGTGCTAGATTGATTATATGGATACCTAGTTGTCAGGCCCCTAAATATGAATGCTGATACCTGAAATGTGGACTATTTTGCAGTCCTACTCACATATGATGACTCTTTACCACGATAGGAGTAACAGGAAAAAACATATGAAATAAAAAATACAAACCACTATACAGTGCTTCAAAAAAAAAGGACATTCACATACATACTGTATATATATATATATACACGCACATATGCAAGTGATTAACAAATGATAAAATTTAAAAGCTTTTCCCATATTAAGTTCATCTGAAAAATATTGCAACTGTACTGCATGCTATTTCAGAACAATGGGAAGATATAATGCTTTCCTTTTAAACGTTTATATCTGTGCTATTAATTGTACTGACAGATATGCATCCTTCTGAGGTCTACAATGAAAATGGCCAAAATATGGAAAAGTTGGAAGTCTCAATTCAGGGCACTTTTGCAAGTGTTAGTGTTAGTTTTCTATTTGCGTCTAGGAAGCAAAGCAATATTTATGCAGCTGTGCTTAGGAATATGTCAAGAGGAGTGATAGTCTGGACTGTTTTTTATGTTTTATGCTGGACAGAGATTGTAGAAGACGAAACGGCATGGTCATCAAGATAAACTCTAAGTGAGGACCATGAAGGAGCCAGAAGGGTAGAAATCAAATAGGTGGAATAGGAAAAGGAGACCAGTGCAACAATGGCTCAGCCTCTGTGAAAAGACTCTAGAAGTCTGAAATAGAGATGAAAGTTGGTTAGCTAGCAGTGGGGTTTAGGGCAAACGTAGCTAATATAGTACTATGTTCAATGACCCAAATGCATCCTAGCTACTTTTTATTTAAAAACCGTTATGTGCATGGGCTTTCAGAAGTTGAAGACTCCAAACCACTTTATCTAAAAGGCTGTAATACAGCAACATACATCAGGGTAATACAGCAGATGTCTTTTAAAATAGTATACAGAGCATATCCTGCTGGTCACCCATTTTTATTATCAATCACTTCAAAATATTATATATTTCAAAGTTTCTTGACATAACAATTCAGTTCATAAATTATCATTCTGCTGGTTGTTCACAGGAAAAACAGGAAAGTGAGCTCAAAGGGAAAGAAAATGCATCTCATTTAAATCAAGTTTAGGATATTCCAGTGATTCTGGAAGAAAAATGAGAAAGGATAATTCTACATAAAGAACAACTTAAAGGGGATTTAACCAGCATGCAAGTAGTCTTTGGGTTCTGATGGCAATTGGGACTGGGTAGGGGGTGCTGCGGGATGGTGAAAGAGCGGGAACGATTTACTGGAGCAACTTGCAACCTTTTCCTGCTGGCTTCCCTATGAAGTCAACAGGAAAGGTTGCAAATAGCAATTCCGTGACACGGTTCCCTATGATGTTGTATCACGAGCCAGACACCCAGAAGCTCAGATCGCAGTCATGTGACAAGAGTGGTACAATAGCCAAAACTTCTTGAGGACCAGTCGTATTTTCATTTTTTCAGTGCCGCCTGAACTCTGAACAATCATTGAACAAATGGGTGTAAGTGGAGGATTATCTGTATTGTGCTTGATATTTTTTTTTCCTAACAAGTAGCTGTTGGGGAAATGATCCCTCTGTAGCACTCAGGTTACCCAATCCATACCAAACATCTATTCACTCCGTTCAAAACATCCATGCTGGAGTGACAAAGTCTGCTTCTTCAAAATACTGCAATTAGAATGTTTCCCTGTTTAATACAGAAATTCTAGTACAATGGATACTTCCAAATATGAAGAGGTTAGTAACAAAAGTAAGCATTTTCAATAAACAATAACATTTTGCACATATCCACAATATTTGTTCGCTTTGAGAACAAAGAAGCAAGGGTGTGCCATAACTATTTGCACACCAATAGAAACATTATTAGTATAGAAATCTCAACACTGATTACATTTGCATTTTTATATAAACATGATTTGCAGGATATATTGAGTAATCGGATAATATTGACATGTCACATAACACTGAGAGACGTTTATTGCCAGTCAAGGCATCTGATAAAAATTGTGATATACTCTGGAGTCCAACAGATTAGAAAACAGAGCTAGTTGCTAATAGAAGAATTGCCTGCTTTTAGTACCGTCTCATATGGCATTTTTTAAAATGCTGTTGGGAGTGGTGATGATGATTCTTTCGGATGGTGGATCGATTCTTGCTCCAGAGTCAGTTCTGCTGGGTCACAGGCGGATCGGGGCTTGATGCATCTATGTGGATAGATAAAGCTGCTAGAACACAACAATAAACAGCGAAGAAAATGAAGTGAAAAGTAATGCCAAACAGATTTTTAAAAACCTACCATTTTTAATATCAAGATTTATGTGCCAAACCCCACCATTTAATCATTCCTGTTGTTACTAATTAATTTCCTTTCAACCATTAATTTCTTTTCAACCAGTCTGGGGTGGGGGGTGGAGGCAAACTACTAAAATAGTTCAAGTTTCTACAACAATATTTCATTAGCTGCTTGATTTTTTTTTTAAAAAATGTAGACTTGCAAGCTACACTTCATTGATATATGTTTTGCTCTCTGATCAATATATTCTGTCCAGTCAGTCACTACACAAACAACAGTAAAATATCATTTTGCCAGACTGCAAAATGCAAGAAGAAAAAAAATCAAACCATTCACAACTCCTGTGAATTAACTCAGTCTAGAATAGTGTTTCTCAACCTCTGCATGCTGCCAGGAGAATTCTGGGAATCGAAGTCCACACATCTTAAACTTGCAGAGTTGAGAAACACTGCTCTGGAGCTTTTGAAAACCACTTCTGAACTCACACTAGAAAGCTCTGATAGTTACAGCAAGTCTTCCTGTTATTATACATTGCGGTAGTGAAACACACTAGTCAATCTGTTCTTCCTGCTTTATGTATTATATATTCAGGGTTGTGCTTGTTTTGTGCCAAGTTGGAAAAACTGAATTTTGTACCCAAAATAATCAAAATTATGTGATGAAACTGTAAGGAACTATCTATGGTCTTCTCTGCTCCAAAGATCATTCAAAAACATCTACTGCATGTAAAAAAGCAGGATAAGTTCCTTGTTGAATCTACTTTACAAATAGTAATAGGACTCAGACTAAAGACAATAAATATATTCTAGGCAGTGTGGAACAATTTGTCTGTCAAGAGAATGAGACAAGATGGAAGACACTCTTCAGGCTGTTGGTGAGGCAACCTAACCCATGCTCGGTGCCTATCCATATCACAGGAAAGGGATCAAAGCAAGAACCAGCAATGTATTTTTTAATCCATTGAGAAGATAATTCTATTCTATTCTATTCTATTCTATTCTATTCTATTCTATTCTATGCTATTCTATGCTATGCTATGCTATGCTATGCTATGCTATGCTATGCTATGCTATGCTATGCTATGCTATGCTATGCTATGCTATGCTATGCTATGCTATGCTATCCTAAGAAAAGTCAAAGATGGGTCAAAATCATACAGATAGAGATAAAGGACCATTCAGTGTCTTCAAAACTACATCACTGAACAATGAACAGATACAGTAGGATAAGCATAAACTGGGAAGAGACAGTTCCATAAGTAAACCAGTCCTAAGCTATGAAGGGCTTAACTGCCCTCTTCTGGCTAGATCCTTACAGCCTGATGGCTCCAGAAAGTTGGATTGTTGGGAACCTTGATCTCAACATGGTGAAGGTTAAAGGCAGGTTTGTTTGCAATAAAGCCAACCACAAATTGATAGTGAATGAGATAGCAGACTTTGGGGGCACACATTTCTGAAGCCTGGTCAGAAGACAAGAGTGTCACCTTGTCTAAAATCTGATCAGCTGTGTAACAAATATTTTATCAGATTTGAAGGCAGCCAGGGATGTGGGTGGGGATACCCACTAATTATATGTAGCCAAAGTTTCTGCTCTCGAGATACTGAGGTGGGAGTGACTATCTGTTCTGCTGGGATGCAGAGAAGTTTGATCTATCAGCCATCCTGCTGCCCAGCAGGCTTCCTCACCAGACTGCTAGAATTGGTCTCTGGACTGGTGTAGAGAAGCGCTATCTTCTGATGAGGGACTTCAACCTCTTGCCCTGACTCCAGTAAGGTCTGGAGTTCATGGCCTCCATGGCAATCATGAGTTTCTCTCAGGTAATCTCAAGAGTTAATAAAGATGGGTAGTCTTACATTAGACTTCGCCAGCAGATCTGGCAATGAAGGAATTTTCTACTTCCCCATTTATTTGAATGGGTGTTTTTTTTGCAGGAAACCACCAAAAATGGCAAAAAAAATATCATGAGTCATGGTCATGTGACCACAGAATGCTGCAACCAGTCATAAAGCTGACCCACCAAGCCAGGTATGTTTTATGGGCCATAAAGCACCCATTCCATGGTCATCGTAACTTCAAGCAGTTGTAAAATGACCCATCTTTAAGCAAGGATCACCCGTATCCAAGACATCAAGAAAAGAAAAAAAAAATAGACAGGTCCATATAAATGGTATGCCATTACATTTAATCAAGGTTTTAAAAGAGGGAGTATTGTAGATTGAGGCTTTCCTTTCCACCATAGAATGAGGGCAGCATCTTCACTAGACTGACTATTACTATCTAAATTCAGTCAAAATTCAGCAAAACTTTCCATAGATGGGGGAGGGAAAGGGTCTATGACAGAGGAAGATTTGTTGCTGCATGTTTAAGAAAGAAGCTAAATTCATCACAATGACAGGGCAGAGTGTTGGCAGAGATTTGAGCTATTTATTCTTTTAGGAAAATCCTATAAAGAATGACACGAGGAAGCCTCTATCTGCAGTCTTGTTCATCACATTGGTGAGGAGTCTGATAACAGATGTATGCAGTAGCATGATTTAGTGCCGGGAGCTGGACCCTGATGTGTATTAATACAGCAGCAAAGCGGAACAAGCTTCTCTTCATCACTCATCTCTATAAAAGAGGTGGAATCCGAGATGGCCTGATGTTAGGCAGAGCAAGCCCATTTGTTCTGCTGACTGATGGAGCCAGCTCAGGCTGTGTCCTTCACCTCTGTGGGGCACTCAGGTTGCATAAAGGAGTTCACTGAAGCAGGACCTGGTCAACAAGTGCGTTGAGCTCAGCCGGAGATCTACGCTGAAGTAACATCCTTGCCTGTGTAGACTCCCAAACTGAAACCTGGCTCTGAATTCTGATTCATGGCAATCTTTTGCTGAAGATGCAAGAATTCATCAAAAGAAAACTGTATCTACAGTGAAAGAAAATTGCCGTCCACAAGCTAATCAGAGCAACTATCCAATGAACGGTGACTGAAAACCAAGCTGTATAGAGAAAAGAAAAAAGATTGTCCAATAACTAGGGATGCTATCACACAAAATACAGAAGTGTATTTTGCTATCTTGGAATCACAAAGCAATCAATTACACTTTTTTTAAAAAAAGAGAGAGATTCACTTATGACCATAGAAGTCCCAAGAAATCAGAAACCAAAAGAGATCCCCAAGTTAGTTTTCCAGGTAGAGTTTATAAATCCTGCCTTGTCTGTCTTTCTTTCCTTGTACTCTGCTCCGGTGATCTGTAACCGGGTCTCTTTGCAGGGATTTAGTACTGTTTGAATCTTGGCATTACATGCTTTTGGGAGACTAAACTAAATGTGAGGGTTATTAGCCACATTTACTATCCATCCCTCTCTCTTATTCATACACACTACTAACAAATACTGGGTATCAGTAGAAACAAAACAAAAAAAGCAAAGTTTCCTGGTAGAAGACTATATGGAGATCAAAACAATTTACAATATGTGGGGGGGGGAGTTACTAAACGTTACGAACAATATATATAGACAGAGAAACAGAAACACAGAGAGACAGAGAGAATGAGTGAGTGTCAAATGTGGACTTCTTAAAGAATATATAAAGTAACTCCATATTCTCTGTGAGGTCCCTACAACTGAAAATATTTTTTTAATTTACTTTTCACTCTATAAAGATGCTATATAAGGATGTCCACTTTCCCTTTTGATTTTTTCCAGAACCCTTAGTTTGTGTTACCAAATTAAAATTATAATGTCCTTGGATTTTTGAGTTTTTCAATTAGTATTACTAATATTTTATTATTTATCTCTGAAACTTATGCCTCTACTCTAGATTTGATGCATCTGACTAAAGTCTTCAACCAAATTTGTGGAATACACTGTTAACAGGCCTACACTGGAACTGATGACAGTAGGTAAAGACATGGGGCTGCCCTTGAAGAGCATTTGGAAAGTTTAACTGATGTAAAATGCAACTAAAAGGTAATAAATGATGCTGGCTACACAGCACATGTAACACCACTATTCCGTGAGCTGCACTGGCTGCTGGTGTGTTTCCAGGTGCAATTCAAGGTGCTGGTTGCCACCTTTAAAGTGACACCTATATGGCTTGGAACTGGGTTACCTGAAGGACTGTCTTTTCCAAGAGTTTCTACCCATCCAATCTGATCCAATGGATTAGGCATGCTGCAGATTACATCAGTCAAGAGTGTTGACTGGTAGGAACTAGAAGATGGACTTTTTCGGTTAAAGCCCCTGCTTTTTGGAAAATTCTCCCCTTGGAGATTGGAATGGCTCCAACCCTGTTGGCTTTTCATAAAGCTTTAAAAATTTGGCTATGCACCTTAGCCTGGGGCTCAGAATGTGTTAAGGATTCCATTATTTGGCTTTAATATTAGTTGATTAATCATCACAGCTGTTATTTGTGGATGTTTTATTGTTTTAATGTTTTTAAATTGTTTTGTTTTATAATTTTAGAATTATAAGCCTCCCAAAGACACTTGGCTGAGGTAGGCAGCTACAGAAATTGACTGAATGAAGGAATAGATAGATAGATAGACAGACAGACAGACAGACAGACAGACAGACAGACAGACAGACAGACAGACAGACAGACAGACAGACAGACAGACAGACAGACGATTTCATGGACAATCTGCATGGATACTAAGATCTTTATATTCGATCAGATAGTGAATGATAACAATGAGTCTTATAATTTCCTATGTCAAAAGATAAATTCCATTTGTCATCTGACAACGGCTAGCATTACTTACAATTAACATTTATTGACAACTCAATTTGTACCAGCAGAATTTTCAGTCTCAAAGACACCTAAGCTATTAGAATGGGTTGTTAAATCCCACGACACCAAAAAGCTCCCAATCTATATAAATATCTATTATCAACAAATCAGTTTTATACGCAAACTTTAAAGACTGAATGGAATAAGAAACTAGAGACTTTGCCTAAACAATGAAAAGTAGTTTTCACCTCAATACTAAAAACCTCATTAAATCTTAAGAGTATGGCTTATACAACCTCCCAAAATGTTTCACTTACTAGACTCTATTGCATTTGAACAGAAAAGAAATGAGTAAATCATCATGTTGTTAGCAATGCGATTAGAACTAAAGATACTATGTTCTAAGAAAAAATAAGTATCTATAATTATCTAATTTCAAATTGAGTTTAGTCTCCTTTTGAACTACATAATAACTAGATGGAATTTGACAGCCACACAATGGAGAGGGGTTCTCTGTACCCTTGCTGTTGCTGAGATTGTAATCCTTCAACATTAGACATAAAAATGCATGAACTGAAGAACTAATGTTACTTATGTGCCCATAAATATGGATTATACAAGCAATAAAATATTGCACTAAAATACATTTATCTTTTATTGAAATTGTTATGTAAAATAATTCCTATACAGAAGAGGAGCCCCTTATATCTACACTTCATGTTGTTGTATTTTCAATCTTCTTTTTTAATATTTTTCCTTTATTTGATTAAACATAGCAAAACAGGGCAGGGTGAATGGTTGTGAGCAGCTGAATCTTTCCCTGTTTTTTTCTCCAATGCCTGATAATATGAATATTTTCTTTTCTTCCCCAGCCTAATCTACAGTGAATTGGAAAGAAAAAAATTAACTGAACCCAAAAACTTGCTCCTACCTAAGAGGGTACTTAGAATCTCCATCTTATAGGAAATCAGTTGTATAGGAGTTGGCAGTAGCCCCAACACTGTACAATTACTGAAAGCCATGATGGTGCAGTGGTTAGAATGTAGTATTGCAGGCTAACTCTGCCCATAGCCTGGAGTTCAATCCTGAACTGGCTCAAGGTTAACTCAGGCTTCCATCCTTCTGAGGTCAGTAGAATCAGGACCCAGATTGTTGGGGGCAATATACTGACATTTGTAAAGTGCTCAGAGAGTGCTATAAAGCAGGGGTCTGTGGCATGCCAGAAACCATGAAACCAAGCAAAGCCCCATTCGCGGGATGCAGGCAGCATGCGAAACCACGCTCCGTCCAGTCCACGGAAAAACCTCTCTCCACAGAACCAGTCCCTGGTGCCCAAAAGGTTGGGGGCCACTACTGTTAAGCATTCTGGAACAGTGTATAAGTCTAAGTGCTATTGCTTTTGCTACCACCTTTGGTTTATTCGGCCTGCTCCTTGCTGATGCTTCAGAAAGTTATACAAAGATGCCTATCTTGACAAGAATTTGGGCACTAGTGATGGTGACAGACTGCTTTTTTATTGGGGAGGGTTTTCATTGTGGTTGGGGTAGATCTGATTTATGAGGTGCTGGTTTTATGGGGAGTGACAAGATTTTATGATACGCATGATACTGTAAGCCATCTGAGTCATTGTGATTAAATGTTATAAATCTAAGTAATATAAACAAACTTCAGAAGGAAAGGTTTTAGTTCATCTCTCCATAATGTCTTTCTTTCACGTAAGCTATACTCTTTTGATGCAGTTTGGCATGATCAAAATATAATAGCCTCTATCTCATCATTTACTGCTCTAAAAGCAGAAATCTTCAGTTTACATTAAACGTTAGGCATCTGTACTTCTCTTGGATTCCCTTCAGACTCTCTCCCCAGCTCCATTCCTCAGCTGTTTTTGATGGTGATTTGACTTTCACCAGCAGAATGATAAAACTGGATATAACGTGGATACAAATTTAAGTCTATTCTCAACCATGTAAACTCACTGAGAAATTTTGGGCCAGTTGCTCTTTCTCAGCCCCTTGTCCAATTCAACACTATTATACTGACAGTCCTCAGCTTAAGATAAATCACTTAATAACATTCAAGTTAGGACAGCCTTGGAAAAAAATACTTATGACCCATCCCAAAGTTATAACTGTCATACTATCCATAGCCATGAATCTTTTTTTTTAAAAAAATAGGCACCTTGCAAAATAAATTATAGGAGTCTAAAATATGTGGAGGACACCAGATTGGGAAAGACTTGCCTAGATTCCCTTGGGATATCATCATGCTTCCTATACCAAGCACATAAAAACTAGCACTGTACTTTCAAACACAATATAATATTTCCTACTCAGTGTGATGCTCTTCAGTCAAAGTGCCCAAATACTGACATAAAAAAGCAATAAACATCCTGTTTTTCTATATAAAAATCTTTCTATGGAACCACAACTGGTGACTAGACAGGTTAATAATGCAATCTTAAAGGAAAACAAATTTTGTGGGAAGCAACGCCACATTGTGCAATCCAGCTGAATTATGTAGAAGGAGTTAAGTTTGCATACATACAACATCTTTTACCATACAAAATAATTTACTTCCGTCAGTTATAAAACACAACATGCTATGAAGGCTCCAATTACTGCTGACATCTGCGTTTTCATCAGGCACTTCTCAAACATTTGCAAACCAACAGTTACTGTCTAAAGGGCAGTGTCCAATATTATATTTGGCATTTGTGTACAACAAATGAAAAATTTATATAATATTCCCATAAGGTGCCTGCTTTTTAATATGGACAAAAACGGTTGAAAAGACAGATCTCTTAAAGTGTGGATCTTCTCATGAATTTCAAATAATTTCTCCTCCAAAACTGCCACATTCCATTTCACTAACTAATGAAGCAAGTTTTAGCTCTTTACCTGAGGTGGGGCTGGAAAGTGAAGCTGTTGCCATCACCGGTTTGCGTTTTCTCTTGATGTCCCTTGAGCACGGTGGTCCCAGATGTATATTAGTCTGCCTAAAGAATGAATAAACTATACCAATTAGAAAAAGAAGCCAACAAGTATCACACTGATGGTCCTTTAACAGGAAATGCATCAGCCAGATAATTTTTAATTAGCATTTATTGTGCGCTATTTTTAAAATATAACAACAATTCTTTTGATTTGATTGATTTGATTTATACACTGATTCTCTGCTGAGCAGTGAAGCCAGCTAACAAAATTTAAAAAGATTAAAAAAATCAAAAACATAAATCAAAACTAACAATCTAATAGTGCTAACAGTATACAGTATGGTAAAAACCTACAAAAGAAAGGGGACTTGACAGATATTCTACGTATTGAATGAGCAGGAACCAAAAGCAACCTCAGAGGGAACGTTTTCCCTAGCACGCTTCCAAAGATACTATACATTTCCTACTCTGTGAAGAAACTATCAATGAATTTTGTTAGAGAAGAAAAATAGATTAAATATTTATAGTTAAATTATCTGGCTTGGAAAACATTCTTCCACATTTATGGAAAGCTTTGCTAAAGGTAATTTAAGGGGGAAAATGCATAAAATCAAAGAACCCAGAAGACTTACAGTACATGTGTTTAACTATAGATAAAGGGCTAGGACAAGGGTTTCAGAAAGGAAAGAAGAAGAAATAGCCTTCACTAATTTATCTATTATGATCAAACAATAAATAAATGATTGACAGAGTTACAAAGTATTAGAAAGATTAGACCGTTTCCTGATGCAGTTGCCTGACCCATAGGAACTGGCTATAGGGCAACATCATAGACCAATCCATAATAAATGCGGATTTTAAAATTTTGAAAACGTTTACGCCACAATAAAGCAGCACATTCAAGCCCTTTTACTTCAACAGCTGAAGCACCCATTGCCTTGTGTTACAGCTGTGCTCTCTCTTTTTTTTATTAAAAGTTTTAAATAATTTTCCATACAATATCCCACTTCCCTCTCCCCCTCCCCCCCTTCGCTTCCCAGAGCTGGTTACAGGATTATAAAAACAGAATCATAAATTAAATAACATTACCCAAATATACTACAGTCAAATCTCATCCGCATCTACTTTAACTCTACAAAATAGATAAATCTTAACACTTTTCCAGCAAAATAATAATATAATTAAACATTATTACTAAAAATAATATAAATTCATCCACAATAAACTAGCTGTGCTCTCTTTTTAAGCACATTGTACTTAATGTACATAGAGAGTGCAATGAAACTGCTAGATAGAAATCAATTTGTTTCACAAGTGGCTCCCTTACTCCATATATTAAGTTCTATGATGCAAAAGGCAGTGTGCTGAAGTTTTTAATTATGCTCCTTTGTGGTAATATAGAAGCATCTGCCCTATATATTTTCATTGTTAGACGAGATAATTATTATTCATGCCTGGCTTAGTCTTGATATGAAAAAATAAGACAGTACTAT